AAGAGGGGGGTGAACTTATCTCTAGAATTCTATCGATGCTGAAGGCAGAGACTTAAATCTGCATAATTACCTTATTCTTGTTTACTGTAATTTTCCTGGTAACCTTCCAAACTACTTCCCCCCATCTCAACACTTTTTGTCTTAAGCTGAAGATGACATTTAAGGTGGTGGCTTTAGTCATTTTAGTGAGTTATTCAGTTTACCTGGGTCTCTCCCATGTATACAGGTTGTATACCTGTTATTAAACTATGGTTTCTTTTTCTCCTGTTACGTTGTCTTTTATTACAGGGATGTCTCAGCCAAGAACCCAGGAGCATAGAAAGAAAATTACCTACCCACCCCCCTACACACACAGAGTAATAGAATGTACCATATAGCCTAGGCATGTAGTACTATATACAATCTAGGGTTCATGTAAGTTCACTCTGTGATGTTTGCAGAATGATAAAATTGTCTAACAAAGCATTTCTCAGAAGGTATCCCTGTTAAGCAATACATGACTATATTTGTTCTTTTGAAATTTAGGCTTTAGTCACTTACAGTTGCTTTTTGTGCATGGTATAGTATAGAGATCCTTTTTAATTTTCTTCCATGTAAATAACCAATTATCATAGCACTTTATAACAAATAGTCCAATATCTTAATTGATCTTCCATGCCAACTCTATTATAAATTGTTTTCATATGAATGGTATTAATGGGTTCTTGGCTGAACCTATTATGTTCTACTATCAATTTTGTTATCTCCAATTAATATTGAATTGTTTTAGTGTTAAATACTTTCACAGCTGACAGCTTTTCTGAAAGAAAGGGTTTATTGGGCTAGCCAAAAAAGGTCCAGGTCCTGAGGTGTGAAATCTAAACCACCAACAGCAGGGCTAGATAAAGAAGGCAACATGTCTGCCATCCTGGGTTGACACTATGCTTTGGGGAAGAAAGCTGTTTAAGTTGTTTTGAAAGAATTTACATTGGCTACAGACAAGGGGTGGGGCAGAAAAAGGTAAAGCTGTGGCAGTTCTAGGATAAATGCACAGTCTGTAAGGAAGAAATATTTATTACTTTTGTTTGATGGTGGCTAAGAATTGTGAAATTTTATGCATAAGCAGGATGAAGTGCCATCTGGTAGTCTATACAGAAGTTGATTCAAAGTTCCAACATATATTCAGGAATGTGAGCATTCTATTGTCAGTGGTTCACAGCTATTAAAGGGTTAAAAACTCTTGTCTCTTTCTTTCACTCTGCCCCTGCCAACCGCCCCCGCCCCCCACCCTCCACCACCATAATTTAATTTAGGACATCTCATAATTTTTCTCGTCACTTAGTTTCTATGGCTTTGTAAGGCTTGGTAATTGGTAGAGCAGGTTATTCATTGTTTTATGAATAATGTTTTGGCTATCCTTCATTTTTTGCTCTTCCATATAAATTTTAGAATGAGCTTATAAAAGTTATTGAAAACTCCATTGGGATTTTGATTGGAATTGCAGTGAAGTGAAAGATTGGGAGATTGGATATCCTAAACTATTATTTATACCATGATTGTTGTGTATCCTCCATTTAATAATTCTCATAAAATAAAGGAAAAATTCTCCTTAGAGTTGTTATGCATCTTTTGTTTAATTTATTCCTAGGTACCATGCCACTATTTTCTTCTCTTTTTGAGCAGTTTTACAATCACAACAAAACTGAGAGGAAGATACAGAAATTTCCCATATACCCCCAGCTTCCACACATGCAAAGGCTCCCCCATATTCAATATCCCACACAAGTGGTACATTTGTTTTAACTGCTGAATTTTGCTGAACCTACATTAACACATCATAATCACCTGAAGTCAATACCTTATCTAGGGTTCACTCTTGGTTTTGTATTCTATAGGTTTGGACTGTGGATGAAAATGGGGCCACATATTAAATCTGACAAGCTCAGAGGAGGCCCACAGGGTAGGCCTTACAAACTCAGAGGCCAAAAGCAACTACACGGGGCAGTCTGAACCTAAAAATTCCTAACTAAAAGCTAGTCATTGTGTGCAGTCACGTCCTAGGCCTATATCTTCCTCGAAAAAGGTCAGTCTCTACCTCTGAAACTGTCTATTGCCTTTGTGCATCTAAGATAACATACCTTTGAAACGTCAGAGTACTTTTCTTTTCTAGACCCCTCAAGTGCACGACTGCTGGCACCAGAGAAAAAGGCAACATTGTTGTTAGTTGTTGCCCACATATCATTTCTATGTACCGTAAATATGAACTACCCTATACCCACCAATGTAAAAGAAATATGTGTCTCTCCATTTTGCTTTTTATCCACTCTCAGAGATTTCTCCACTCTGCTTTCTCTCACCTCCCTAATCTATCATTAATGAATTTCATGCAACCCTCTTTACTGCTCCTCCTGATTCTAATGTATAAAATAAGCTGCAAAACTGCCATTCTCTGGAGCATTTTCTCAATTAGTTGAGATTTTGTTCCCTGGCAATTATTGTCAATTTAACACACTCTTGTAAGATATTTTTCTTAGGCTGGATGTTTTCTTATCAATAGGACAAATATGTCATGTATACATTGTTATAGTATCATAAACCGTTTTCACTGCCCTAAAAAGATCCTGTGTTCTACCTATTCATCTTTCCCTGCCCCTCCCCACAACCCCTGGCAGCCACTGATCTTTTGCCTTTTCCAGAATGTCATATAGTTGAATCATACAGAAGCCTTTTCAGATAAGCAACTTTCACTTAGTAACATGCATTTAAGTTTCCACCATGTCTTTTCATGGATTGATAACTCTTCGTTTAGCACTGAATAGTATTCCATTGTGTGGTGTTTTATCAATCAAGTTTTCTGCTGTTGCTCGTATTTGAAAATGCAACTGACTTTTGAATATGACGTATCTGTAAATCTCACTAAACTTTTATCTTCCTTTCCAATTATTATACCTTTTACTTCCTGTTTGTACCTTATTACACTAGCTAGGATTTCTAGTACAATGCTGAATTACATTCTACTTGATGAGGCTCTAACTTTATAGGGATATTTCTAACATTTCATAATTAAGAATGTGTGCTATACTTTTATGGATTTCCTTTACCTTAGTTTCTTTTTCCCAGTTTGTTCTCTGTTTAAGCATTACTGATTAAATTTTAGCAAATGTTTTTCACAGACTAAGAAAATGGTTTTTCTCCATGTATTAATGTGACAAATTGCACTTTTAGATTTCTTAGTTATTTCATCCTTGCACTCCTGATGTAAACCCAACTTAACTATGGTATATCAATTAAAAAAAAATGCTCCATTTGTTTTGTTAGGGCTTTGTTTTACTAGAGTTGATTTGCATTATTTTCTTTCTCATGCTATTGTCTGAATTTTGGTTATCAAGATTATATTGCTCTATGAGTTGAAGAGTGTTTTCTCTTTCTATTCACTTGGAAGAGTTTGTTCATTGGAATTAGTCTGAAAAGCCTTCTGAGCATACCGTTTCCTTTCCATTTACAAATGTTGTGATACTAATATATAGGTAAGTATAGCTAACATATTACTGAGTGCTTATTTCTTCCACTATTCTGTGCCTTCTTTTGGATGTTTTTTCTTATTCCATTTTCCCTCTCCACCAATTAAGAGTTATAAGTACCGATAACTTAACTCTTACCATGGAATTTTACTCAGCATAAATTACATTTTAAATTAACATGAAAAATTTAGTATCAAGGACCCTGGGAATACTTTAATTTTGATCATTCTTCTCAACTTACTTGCCAATGTACACTATTTAATTTTTTATGTAAACCACATTAGACACTGTTTACTAATATTGTATCATCTTTAAAAACAACAAAGTCTCATTAAATTGGATTTGGAGTAGTCTTTTAAAAAATCTGTGACACTAGCTATATTTAATAAATGCACAGACTAAACTCATTTGGCTGATCAAGTGGCAAGACTTAAAACTAAGGTTAGTTAATTATACAACTAACAGCATTTGCAAATCCTATATACACTGTAGGCCTTTACGGAAAAAGAACAGAGAGGTATTTTTCCATTTCCTTCCCATAATGCTGATCCTCATCATCTTTACTTCTGGATTTCTGCAATAAACCACCCAGGTCAATAACTCTAATGCAACCTTCATGCTGCAACTTAAGTGATTTTTACAAAGTGCTAATAAATTTCCAAACTGTTGACCAAAGAATGAATGTCCAATTCCTTAGTGTAGTTTACAATGCTTTTCATGATCAGGTCCCTCACATTTTTTTTTTAAGATACACTTGTTGACAAAAGAACATTCAGGCTAAAAAGAAGTCATGAGTTTATTTGAGCAAAACTGTTGACAATTGCCGGGAAGGAAAATCTCAACAGACTGAGGAAATGCTCTGGAGAATGGCAGTTTTGAAGCTTATTTTATACATAAGAATCAAGGAGAAGGAAGGTAGGTTACATGAAATTCACTGGTGATAGATTAGGGAGGTGGGAGAAAAAGTGGGTAAATCTCTGAGATTGAATAAAAAGCAAAACAGAGAGACATATTTCTTTTACATTGGTGCCTACAACATAGTTCACATTTACAGCACACAGAGAATGTGGGCAACAAGGTAACAACATGGTCTTGGTCTCTGGTGTTGGTGGTTGTGCCTTCAAAGGGTCTGAAAAGGAAAATTGCTGTTTCAAAGACTGACCTTTGTCAAAGAAGCTACAGGCCTAGAACAAGACTACCCACCATGACTTGCTGTTACAATTTTTACGTTCAGAGCACCCTGTGTTGTTACTTTCTGTCTGTTTGTAAGGCCTACCATGTGGGCCTCCCCTGAGCTTGTCAGTTTTAGTATGTGGCCCCTTTTTTACCCACACGCTCTAAAATAACAAATTTCATTCAAACTCCATCCGGTCTATGATTATATTACTAAGCTAGTCTGTCATACTTTGTGCCTTTATAAAGGATGTTACTTTTTACTCATTAAGATTTCAATGTCACTGAGAGATCTTTTTGGACTTTCATCTTCTTATATGTTTTCAAACACTTAGTAGTATACAAATAGTCTGGTATTGGTATTGCTTGGTTCAAATTACCACTTATTCACTGTGATTTACATCTTGGCTTCTTTATCTGGTTAATTAGGTTGCTAATACTTACCTCATAGGATTGAGTGTTACATAAAACCAGCAATTATTGCTAGGTACTCCAAAAATGTTCTCTTCATTTTTATATAACTCTTTGAGTGCCCAATATGTGCAAGATGTCAGAATTACATCTAAAAGATGAACAGGATATAGCTCCTTTACTATGATGATAATGGGCTCATAGGACAATAGAAATAAACCTGTAGTAGCATCACTATAGAAAGATTAGTCATCCAATAAGAAAGGTCAACATATATAAGTGGCACTATATAATCCTAAAAGAGTTTTATGAGTATAGACTTAAAAAGAACAAATGACGATTTCTGGCAACTGGCCTCAGATTAACTGTAAAGTTACACTCTCTGTTTGAAAATAATTAAAGTTACAAATTGTCTGTTTCAAGTGTTGGTTATAACTTTCGCATAAGATATATTTAAAGTAGTGAGCAATCAGTGGTATATATTGAGTTTCAACTAAATTCAGACAAAAATTTTCTATGTATTATCTCTAGCATATACAAAAAATTAAAAAGCCTATCTAAGCATTTAATAAAACACTTATAAAATGTCATATCCATAAAGTTTATTTTAAAAAATTGTTAAAAACTAACCATACAGGAATATTAATATACTTAAAAAGTTTGTTCCTCATGTTGAAGGAAAATACATTAGCAACGTCTTGCAAACACCATCTTTATAAAAGTAAAACTTCTAGATGCTGAAATGTGCTACAGTATATTCTATAGTTTATACTTTTAATCACGGGATTGAAAATCATTCTCCCTACTCTCCTATCACCTCAAATGTGGCAGTTATCATACTTAAATTAATGACATTCAATCAAGTTCTACTACCACAGATCCTTAAATAGGGTACACACTGCATATTTACTAACAGAACAAGTCTTTTCTATTTATTGTCACATAATTATTTTAGATAACCATTGACTTTAAGTACAACAGAAATACTACATCCCATAACTGTAAACATTCACCAAGAGCTTCCAGAGTACAATGCAATAGAGGTGGCCCAAGAGTCAGTCACATGTTCTCCAATTTTCGGCTATTGCTGAGATTAAGTTTTAAAGGCAAATTATTACAAGTCTTACTTGTATTTCTGTAAGAAAGTAGTTCTGGATATATATTTTTAGTCAAAAACACCTGAAAGTCATTCTAAAGACTAAATTAAGCACCATTTTCACTTACCTAAATATAGAATTAATTCAGTAGTACATATATGATCAGAAATTATAAATAACTGTGGTCTCAAGTCCTCTTGTGGATACATATGGGGTACTGAGTTCCAATGATGCTAATAGGAACCACTCATGCATACCTAGGGTAGTAACTCCCCCAGGGCCACGTGCAACCAATAAGACTGAGGCACAACTATTACTTATGTCACTGGATGCTATACAAGCAGATTTAAGGCTGTATTCGGCTATAGAGAGTTCAACCTCCACTTTAGTATTCTTTCTAAATAAATCACACGACTCAAAATTCCATGGAGTGGAAAGTGAAAAGTTCCCAAACACTTTTTTAATACTAGTCCTCCATACAATTCATTGTCAGCATATTTACAGAGGGAACTGTTCATACCTAAAACCATTTTTAAAAATGTAATCATGTTTTTAAAGTTTGATCCAGATTTCTTCAGGATTATCCTCATTTTCATTTTCTGACTTTTGGTCAATTTCACATTTGTCAGAATGTTCACTGCCGTCCTTAGGTAATTCTGATGATGCTCCCAAGGAGAATACAAATTAAAATATATTCACTGCCACCCACTTTGGGATAAGCCTGGTTGCAAAGAGAATGGTGTTCCTGGAGTTGAAGGATAACTAGGAAACCCATCTGGCTGAGCTGGATAGCTTTCCAGAGCCGAAGCTGGATGGACCTAATGAAAGAAGAACATGCATTTTAGCAGAACATCAAATTCAATCAAGTCTATACTTGCTTTTCGCCTATGCCACAATACAGATTGAGAGTAGAAAAGGATCTTGGGGCAAGATCAGTCTGCTCGGTCTACTGTAATTTTTAAGAAATGTTCAAACTTCCTTCAGATGGTGAAGATAGAATATTTAATATTTAAGTTAAATATTCTTTTAAAAAATAGGTTTTCTAGAAAAAATTTGCTTTAATGTTCCATTATTTTAAACTGTAGAAGACAAACTAAAATATAAGTGTCATGTATAAAGATTCCATTTGTAAAATCTCCAAACAACAATTTGAAAGTCTATAAGCAGAAAAACAATTTATACAGATGAATATATTCTACCACCTTTTTTACCCTTCTGAAAGAGGACAAGAATAATTTGCAGATCTGGGGAGAATTCATCAAACCTCCAGACATTCTGCTAAGACTCATTTTTTGCCAGTGTTGGGGTATCACTATTGGTATTGAAAGGTTTTCACTACAGAAGCTATGTTACATATATTACCATTTTATTTATGTCAGACATTACCTGCTTACCTGCTGTAACAATGCTGATTGTGCAGCTGCATTATGCTGTAATTCTTGCAAGGATGACTGTGGAGGATTCTGGGAAAACCCAGGGATACCTGGGAGAGACAAAAGGCCTGGAAAAACAGAACTGCCTGCAGCTTGAAGTCCAGATGATAAGCTAAAGCAATAGATAGAAGAACAAGTCAAAATGCAGATAAGACATTAAAGCTATTGCTTCTATATTTGTCAAATACTATTTTAACATATAAAAAAAAAATCTTAGAATTTCTCTGCTAGAAAGAATCTTAGAAATCTGCCATTCCTGATATTAAATTACTTTTTATTATAAAGAATATTATTCTAAATTCAATTTTACATAGACTTGTTAAATACTTCTTGCTATTTTATAATCAAGATAAATTACCAAATATGAATCCTAAAGTTATCAAAGCAAGCATTAATATTTTATATAGTTATTTTAAGATGACTGAAGAGTCCTAAAACATTTTTTGAGCACTGATATTTCAGCCCAGAAAAATATAATTTAGCACTACTAAACAATTAGATTTTTACTTTTATCTGAATGACTTAAAAATAAAACTATGAACTACAAGTTAGGTAATGATTTTGTATTATTTCCAAACTATCCACATACCTGGCTTGTGCAACAAGAGCAGAGTTGAAATTAGAACTAAATGCTGAAGCGAATCCTGGGAGGACAGGAGCTGGTGATGGGGCCGTAGCAACAACAGGTAATGGTGTGACTGCTGCGACTGTAGCAGGTGTCTGCAGCCCCGGGAATGAAGGGAGAGCAGTGGTAACAATGGGGGTGTTAGAGACAGAAAAGCCAGCGTAGGAGGGATTTGAAGATGGCAAAGGTCCTTGAGTAACTGAAAAAAGTGAGGGGACAGCAGTTGACAAATTAAGGGGGAAAGGTGCTGCTGAGACTGATGCTGAGACAGAAAGCCCTGAGAGAACAGCTGCTGTAGAACTAGGATGAGGGATAGATGTGGATGAGACAGTTGCAGATGAGGTGACTATTAATGACCCTGGAAGAGATACTGATGGATTAAGAGATGGATTGCCTGTTAAAGGGAAATTATTAGTCAAAGAAGTAAAAGGAGGAAGAGCAGTGAATACTGGAGTGACTGGAGTAGAGGAACCATGTGGTGGAAGGGAAATAGAGGAAAGGGGATTTGAAACATTCAAGGGAGTACTCAAACTGGAAAGACCTGACAATGCAGGATTAAGGCAAGCAGATAAACTGATGGGCACTGATGTTGAAGTATATGCACGACCCAGTGTCCCTGAAAAACCTAAAGTGCCATGAGAGGGATTCATGGAAAGAGATGGGCCTTTGAAGGCTGAGGGAGTAGGACTCGTGGGCTCAGTTTTTATCATAACAGGAATAGTTGTTACAGCAGGAGTAGATGAAATATGCTGGTCTGAATTACTTGGATGGGGGCCATGCAAAAGGGTAGCTGAGGAACCAGAGCTAATTGGCCCTGAAGTTGAAGTTGATGTTGGAGTAGCTAGAGGAGACTGGACAGGCAAAGTAGCAGGAGAGGAAGTCGAGCTGGCTACAGGAGATGACAGGCCAGGGAACATGGCCAATCCCTGAGTGGAAGACCCCTGTGGGGTGGGAATGGCTGATGGGGCATAGCACTTGTTAGAGGCAAAAGCAGGAGAATCTGAGTTGTGATTAGTAAGAGAAGACAGTGAAGCCAGTCCACTAGTAACAGCAGAGGATAAAGCAGAAGAGTTGATTAAACTGGTATCATTTGATGTCAGAAAGCCTTTTAAAGCAGACAGAAGATGATTATTTACACTAAGTGGACAAGCAACACTGGGAGCAGAAACACTGGTAATTACAGAAGTTGGGTTGGACATGCTTTGGGATGCTGGTGTTAAGGTCAAGGGGAGACCTGCAAAAACTGACAGTGAAGCAGTATTTGGGTTGCTGGTAGAAGCAGCAGATGTGGCAGAAAAGGAGAGGCTAGTGAAAGGTGCAGAAGTAGAAGCAAATGTTTCATTGGAAGCAGGAGTAGTTCGAGGTGTGGATGTGACCTGAGGGGCTGGGGTAGGAGTCGCAGAAGGACCTGGCAGTGGAACTAGACCAGAAAAAACTGAAGGAACAGGAGCAGATGCTGTGCTGTGGACAGAGGTGAGAGGTGTAGCCAGCAATGAAGGGGTTCTGATAACTGTTGGATTCGGCGTTGATGGCTGAGGTGTATGAACAGCTGAGGAGACCTGCCCTGGGAATACAGGAAGGACAGTATTTGGCATATTCAGCCCAGAAATAGCGGCAGTTGCTGATGCTGATGAATAATTTGCTGCCTTCACTGGGGATGCAGTAGGGACAGGAGCTGCGACAGGTGTTGAAGGGTTAGAACTATGAGGAGAAAAGAGTTGACTTGCTGGGGCAGAAAATGCTGTAGGGGAAAAAAAGAGGCAAAAATTTATCATCATGCTGAAATGTCAAATTTTAACTAAAAAAATGTACAAAAATTTTATAATATTTAACAAATATCAAAGAAAATCAATGACAGGTATATAATAAGCTATTGTAATGTATAAATTATTAGATTTCATTACTGATTTCCACTATGAAGCCCTGTTAAGTCCAATTGTCTTCTAAACTCTGCTCAGAATAATCCTCCGATTCATAGTGAGAAAACCTTAAGAAATTAGCAAATAAAGTTTCTTTTCATATTTTCCCAAATTTTAAAAATTCAAAGAATTTATTTTAATTGTGATTAGTGCTGATGTGCTGATTTTACCTTTAATTCTTTCAAATTACTTATCTAGAATAACACTAGTCATTTCTTCCTCTTAAGAGCTTTCAGGACATCACTGTCCTTTTAGGGGCATACAAGGCCCTCCAGGATTTATGCCCATCTCTCCAGTATTCTTTGTCACTACTCTGTGAATTGAACTTATATTTCAGATTACCAATCTATATGGTTTTCTCCCTCCAAGCATTTTTTCATACTGACTCCTCTATATTACCTTAACCTCTAACTTTACTTAGCTTGTCATAGAGCTCCTTTAGGGACAAAAGCTGTGTCTGTATCATCTTAGAGCCTTAGCACCTAGCACAGTGCAATGGGCCTATGTATTTAATAAGTGTTTGCTACACTGGATCCATCATGATTACCTCAACTACAGTTCCCAAACCCATCTAAGGGCTTATTCTCAAGAATTCTAAACTTGCTACAATATTTTTCTTCTAATAAAATCTACAAATAATTAACATAAGCACTTTGGGGGATGATTTGCGAGTTGGGGATGATTTAGATTTCCTCCCTGAATCATATTAATGACAATGTTAGCCTCTGATGATCTTGTTGATACCAAATTGAAAGCATGACTTAAGTAGCTAATGTCATAATGATTAACTATCATCATACTCACATTCAAGTCTGTTTCAGTTATGAACAGAGAATGTTCCTTTTGCAGTAATAAGCAACTGAAAGACATTTTCATGAACTAAGACTTACATTTTTAAAATCTATGCATAATAAAGACTCTTTTGACATCAAGAAACTGATATGGTCAGAGGTAATGTACTATGCTAATCATGGGTGGGGAAGGAACCACAGGAAAACACCACATACATAATATATTTATACTAAGTGACAGCTAAAGGATGCCATATTGGGCTGAATACATTTTAGAGTTGTTTTAGAAAAGAAAATATGGTAGAATAACTGAAAAAAAGTAATATATAAATATATAAACTTCAAACTCAAAAGGCCTAAAATCTGTACCATATTCATGTTGTAAGCAATAATTTAGTTTCAAGAAAATAAGACTATCGTTTTAAATCTGGAGTTCATATTTAATTTGTACTTATAATGTATTTGTTTTTATATTTAATTTTCTTTGTATTTAATTTGTTTTACAAGAACTCGAGGCACAACAGATATATACCTATTTCTGTATTTGTAAATAATGTACCAAAAAATTATTTAGGTCAACACTGGCTGGGAAATTTGAGAATTCCCTGCTTATTTAACTACATGCCAAGGACCATGTAGTTAATGACAGATTGCAAGGTAAAACCAAGCTGTTCCACAGTGTTCTTTAGAGCAGCAGCCTCCTCTAAAGATCTTTTATTAATAAAGCAAAAGCCGGGCACTACTAATTATAGTGCCTGCAGTTAAAATCCAACAAAATAAAAACAAACCACACTTTCCTGTCATTTACTTTGGTTGTTAATCATAAAACACTATCTGTCAGATCCTGTGCTAAATACTTTATGCCAGCCATTTCATCTGTCCTCATGTAACCCTCTGAGATAGGTACTAACACCCCCAATTTATTGATGGGTAAACTGAGGCTTGGTATGATTAAGCAATTTGTTAAAAGATTATGCAGCTATAAAGTGGTATTAAAAGGGTATAAAGTTTGTTATGTAAGACAGAAAAGTTCCAGAGGTCTGCTATATAACATTATGCCTATAGTTAACATTACTGTATTGTATATTTAAAATTCTGTTAAGGGGGTAAATCTCATTGAGATCTTACCACAATAAAAAAAGAAAAAGGTCTTGCAGCTATGAAGTGGTAGAATCAAGATTTGAACCCAGTTCTGTCAGAGCCATGTTTTTAACAACAATGTTTGTCTTTATTACTGTTTTTTAATATGGTTCAAAAGAAGAATTTTAATCAGGCTAACATAACATAGCAAAGAAAAAAATTAATGGTACTTATGACATTTAACCCATTTATTCCCTTCAAAAACAGATTAATGAAGGTAAGCATAAAGGCTGAGGATTCCTTAATCTTGTAGAAGTTAAATGACCTGCTCAAGGTCACAAATTCAGGTGGTATAAGAGCCAGGATATGAAACTGGATGTCCAGACACTGCATTTAGTGTTCTTTCCACACTGTTATGCTATCTCCTTTAGAAACTACCAATGAACAAGGACAGTTCAGGCACCATTCTGAGAATGGAATTCTCCCATGGAGATGCCTAACTATAAACAATAATTAGATTCATGCACTAATCTGCACATAAGAACTGATCTCATTTGCAGGCATTATGTAGGCCACATCTTATCTTCATTTCTCAATTCCACTTTCTGCTTTGGTGCCCAATTTTTTCCTCCTTAAGTTACGGGGCTCTAAAAACATACTGAAATAATTAAATCTAAATGTAATATCTGACAGACTTCTGGTAAAGATGTAGTATGTAAATGCTGTGCTAGCCTCATTCTACTACCACATCAAAATTAAGACTGAATTTTAGAACTATCCTGTAAAACCACCTAAGACTAGTTGAACAAAACTCCTACAACGAAGAATATAAAGAAGAAACCATGCAAGTTTCATAAGACGGGCAGAGACAAAGAACAAGCTGGTCCCACATCTATGTATGGTGTTTAAGAATTGGAAGGGATATCTCAGCTGCGGAGGCAGCCCCTGAGGAGTGAGGGGTCCCAGACCCACATCAGGCTCCCCAGCACAATGGGAAGAGGAATCCCCACAAGATATGGCTGTGAAAATCAATGGGGATTCCACTCATGTGAGTCAAAGGGCAGCTGTAAACCTAGGAATCCTCTTAAAGTGCCCAAGCGCAGACTTACTTGCTCACAAATACTTGTCCTAAGCTCCAGCAAAAGGACAGCAACTCAAAAAGTGACAGGGCTATACGGGGAGGAACTGAATTATATGGCTTCAGGGCAAAGACTGGAGGGGCAGCTCTCTCCAGGGCAGAAGTGCAGGCAAGTACCATTGTCCCTTTGTTGATACCACCCCCACAGCCTGCAAGTGCAGGTGTGCACCAAATCTGAGTCTCCATTAACCTGGCTAACACAGCTTGCCCCACCCTGATGATTCCCTGAGATCCTGCCCCACCCAACTAACATGCCTGGCCCAAATCTCTTTCAGTAACTATTCCACACAAGTGGTCAGCCTTGACCTGTGCTGTTAACTTTCTAAAATTTCTCAAAGGTCCACAAACCAGAAACAAGCAGTGGCTGGCCTCAGCATAGCAGCCCAAAGCCAGGCACTATTGGCAGCCAACTTCAGTTTGCAGCATAGCCTCTCCCAGGCATCTACAAACGCAGCACAGGCAGCTACCACCTGCAGATCAAGTTGTAGCTTTTACATGTGGTCCTGGGATGGCAAAGGCACAAACTATGTTGGCCTGAACTGGAGTCTTTCCCAAGAGGCCCCAGAACCAACATATCTGGTCGTTGGCTGTAGATCACACGAGAGCACCACCAAATGAGCTCCACAAACAAAACACCCAAAGGGTGAACTTGGCAGGCACCAGAGCCCTGCTTAAGTAAATCCTGTTACAAGGGGCCAGCCATTATAGAACATGTCATCACTGTAGACTCCCAGTAACCCTGAGAATAAATCCTACCCACTGACATGCCAAGAGCAATCATCCCTGGAGCACCCAGCTCAAGTGATCAGGGAAACTGTACCACGGGGCCCCCCAGGTCAACTACTACATAAGGTCACCCTGCTGAGCCTGGGACACACAGATCTACCTAATATACAGAAACAAATACAGGGAGGTAGTCAAAATGAGGAGACAAAAAAACATGTCTCAAATGAAGGGCAGCACAAAACTCCAGAAAAAGAACTAAACAAAATGGAGACAATCTATCAGATACAGAGTTCAAAACACTGGTTATAAGGATGCTCAAAGAACTTCACGAAAGAAAAAATGAACTCAGTGAGAACTTAACATAAAGAGATAAAACCAAAAAAAAAAGAACCAATGAAAAATGAATACAATAACTCAAATGAAGAACACATTAGAAGGAATCGCCAGTAGATTACATGAAGAGGTTCAAATCAGTGATTTGGAAGACAAGGTAGCAGAAAACATCCAATTGGAACAAAAGGAAAAAAAAAAAAAAGGATGAGAGTTTAAGGGGTTTCTGAGACAATATCAAGCACACCAACAGTTGCATCATAAGGGTACCAGAAGGAGAAGACAGAGAACAAGGATTAAAAACCTATTTGAAGAAATAATCACTGAAAAATTCTTCAACCTGGAGAAGGAAACAGACTTATAAGTCTAGGAAGCATGGACAGTCCCAACAAGATGAACCCAAAAAGGCCCACACCAAGGACACATCACAATTTAAAGGCAAAAGGTTAAAGACAAAGGAAAATCTTAAAACCAACAAGAGAAAGGCAGTTAGTTACACATAAGGAAGCTCTCATAAGACTATTAGCTGATTTTAACAGAAACTTTGAAGGCCAAAAGGGATTGGCACAAATTATTCAACGTGATGAAAAGCAAAGACCTACAAATAAGACTACTTTACCCAGGAAGGCTATCATTTAGAATTGAAGGAGAGCTAAAGAGCTTCCCACAAAAGAAAAAAGATAAAAGAGTTCACTACCACCAATATTGCAAAAAATAAAGAAAAATCATATGATCATATGAATAGATGCAGAAAAAGCATTTGACAAAATCTAAAGTTAATTTGTGATAAAAACTCTCAGCGAAGTGGGAAGAGGTAACATGCCTCAACATAATAAAGCCTAGGTATGACAAACCCACAGCTAATACCATATTCAACAGTGTAAAGCTAAAAGTGTTTTCCTTAAGATCAGGAAAAGACAAGGATGTGCACATAAACCACTTTTATTCAACACAGTATTGGAAGTCCTAACCACAGCAATCAGACAAGAAAAAGAAAAAGTATCCAAATTGGAAAGAAGTAGACTATTATTATTTGTAGATGACATTCTATACATAAAGAACCCTAAAGATTGTACCAAAAACTATGAGAACTGATTCAGTAAAGTAGCACGATACAAATATTAATATTCAGAAATCAGATGCATTTTTATATATCAACAAAACTTTCGGAAAAAGAATTTAAGAAAGCAATCTCGTTTACAATTGCATCAAAAAGAATAAAATACCTAGTAGTACTTTTAATTAAGGAGGTAAAAGACTTGTCCTCAGAAACTTATATAAAACACTGAAGACATTAAACAGAAATGGATAGAACCAACATTGTTAAAATGTCTATAACTGCTCAAAGCAATGAACAAATTCAGTGCAATCCCTATCAAAATATCAATGTTTTTTTCATAGAACTAGAACAAATAATCCTAAAATTTAGATGGAGCCACTAAAGACCCTGAATAGCCAAAGTAATCTTGAAAAAGAAGAAAAACAGAGGTATCACTCTACTTAATACCAAATCATACTAAAAGGCTACAGTACTCAAAACAGCATGGTATTGGCATAAAAAACAGATGTATCTATCAATGGAACAGAATGGAGAACCCAAAAATAAACCCACATCTATACGGTCAATTAATCTATGACAAAGGACACGAGAATTATACAATGGGGTAAAGACAGTCAATTCAATAAATAATGTTGGGACAGATGCATGCAAAAGAATGAAACTGGATCACTTTCTTACTCTAGATACAAAAATAAACTCAAAATGCATTATTAAAGACTTTAAGACCCAAAAGCATAAGAAGGCTGGAAGAAAACATAAGCCATAAACCCACTGACATTGCTCTTAGAAAAATATATTTTTTTGATATGTCTCCTCAGGCAAGGGAAACAAAAGAATAAACAAACGGGACATAAAACTAAAAAGGTATTGCACAACATAGGATTCCATCGACAAAACAAAAAGACAACCTACTGAATGGGAGAAGATATTTGCCAATGATACATCCGAGAAGGAGTTAATATATAAAATATATGAGGAACTCATACAACACTAAAAAAAAAAAAAGAGAAAAATCTGATTAAAAAATGAATAGAGGACCTGAATAGACATTTCTCACAAGAGGCCAGAGAGATGGCCAACAGACGCATGAAAAGATGCTCGAACATCACTCATTATTAGAGAAATTAAATTAAACCACAATGAGATATCACCTCACACCTGTCAGAATGGCTATCATCATCAATAAATCAACAAACAAGTATTGGCAAGGATGTGGAGGAAAGAGAACCTTTGTACATTGTGGATGGGACTGAAAATCGATACAGCCACTATGGAGAACAGTAATGAGGTTCCTCCAAAAAATTAAAAATAGAACTACCTTATGACTAAGCAATTCCACTTCTGGGTATTTATCTGAAGAAATCCAAAACATTAATTTGAAAAGATATACGCATCCCTACATTCACTGCAGCAATATTTACAATAGCCAAGATATGGAAGGAAACTCAGTGTCCATTGACAGAGAAATGGATAAAGAAAAAGTGGTACATATACACAATAGAATATTACTCAGCCATAAACACAGATGAAATATCATCATGGGTGGACCTAGTGGGTATTATGCTAAATGAAATAAATCGAACAGAGAAAGACAAAAATCATATGATTTCATGTGGAATCTAAAAACAAAATAAATGAACAAAGAAAACAGAAATGAACTCATAGATACAGAGAAAAATATGATGGCTGCCAGATGAGAAGGGGCTTGAGGGGCTAGGTGAAGGGATTAAGAATTACAAATTAGCATGTAAAAAATAGCTATATAAAGTACAGCACAGGGATAATAGTCAATAATATTGTAATAACTAAGTATGGTGTCAGGTAGATATTAGACTTACTGGCGGTTTACTTCGAAAGTTATATAAATGGCTAACCATTTTGCTATATACTGGAATCTAATATAATACTGAATGTCAACTGTAATTGAAAAAATTTTAATTGTTTTTAAAATTAAACAAATAGAAATAGTATCTGACATATCTATCAAAAAGGTTTTTTATCACCCTGTGTATTTATATCAAAAAAGAAATGAGGCTTCTATATCACATAATGTAAAGTGAATGTGTATATAATTCACATTGCACTTAGATTACATTGAAACAGGATAAACAGGATACAATGGTATAAGGTTAATTTTAAATACAGTTACTGTATGTACCACTATTAACTCACTTTTAGCAAGTAGTAATCAGTTAAAGTCTTTAACCAGGAACTTTCAAATACACTAAACTCAAATGGTTCTCAGTGAACAATACAGCAGACAACTAAGAAAACATCGGTTATCTCTGAATCAAATTTGGTACTTACTTTGATTCTGTATATGTTTTGACTGATTGGAAAAGTCTTCATTTTCTATATGAAAATAAATAAAAGTTGATTTCAGGCTTTAATCAAATTATTCACCACCATAATAACTGTGATCAAAATTGGGGTCAAAAAAAGAAAGACCCAGAATATGCATACTAAATATGTATCAAAATTGGGGTCAAAAAAAGAAAGACCCAGAATATGCATACTAAATTGGGAAAACCAATATACGCCTACGGAAAAAGGAAATAAAAATCATAGTAATAATTATATATAGAATGACAGGATTATGAGCAATTGATCCTCACTGGCTTCTTCCCCCATTTCTCCTTAACTTATAAGGTATTAAATAAACATTGTTATTTTATTTAAGAACACTTTTTGGAAAGATAATGTCCTGGGTCTGTCATCTAGGAGAAAGTGTAGCCTGCACCTGGAGTGCAGAGAGGCACCACTGTCACTGGCTAAGAGTCACTTCTGAACACCAATGCCTACAACAGTGGGAAGACTTGGAAGTGGGAGGTAGATGTTGAGTGCAGAATCCACTGCCATCTGAGGAACTAATCTCAAAAGCCATGTGAATCACTCAAGCAAACACAAAGTGGCCCTGCCCACTTGTTGCACTGAGTTATGAAAAAGGAGCTGTCAAGAATTACCCTAGTTGAGGCTGACGTGAAGCCTGTGAGACTGATGAGCTAAAAGCACACTCCTTCCCTACTCTCATGGGAAAGGAACTATCTAAACCATCAGTCAAAGATGCAATGGCAAAAAAATCACCTCTCATGGCTTGCCAATAACTGCTTAAGAGACCAATAATGTGACAGGTGTAAGGTCTAAAGGAACCCAAAAGTGTCAACATGGTGAGCCAAAAAAGATCATAGCTTACTTAAGGGGCTTAGTACAAATAAACAACAAAAACAGATGGTGTCTATCAACGGAGATTCAATGAAAGAAACAAAAAACTTTAAAAACCTGTAATGCAAATTAAGAACACATACACATACTATAAGAAAATAAGCAGAGAAGGTGAAGACTTTTAGATATAAAAATCTGACTACAAATTAATAAATGCAAAGACTGGTAAAGATTAGAAATAACATTACTGAAAGCTAAATTACTTAGAAATAAGAAACAAAAAAACTCATTAAAATTGGCAAAAATACAAAAAAAAAGATATCATAAATAGATAACAGGCTTAAAAGACAAATACAGTGCAAAGTAAGAGTACTAGAAGGAGAAAAAAAGAATAGGTGAAAATGCAATAAAGGAACAATAACAACAAAATTTCCTAAGCTTTAAAGACTTGAGTTTTCAAATCCAAAGGGCTTAGAGAGTACCAGGAAAAATTAATGAAATACATACCTACACATTCTGTTGAACTATCTGAATTCCAAGATTAAAGACATTTCTGAACTCCAGATACAACTTTTCTTTGTAAGCATACAGAAAGAGACTGAGTTTCTCATGAAGAAAAGAAAATTAGCTAGAATTGAGTCTCTTAACTAGAGCCCTACATATGTGCCCCTTTTGAAGAAACTACTTACAGAAATTTTTAACTAAAAGAAAATTAGAACAAGCATATCAAGACAGAGTATAAAAGAAAAGAAACAGTAAGAAGCTGTAGGTTCATATGCAAAGAAGAAAAAATGTATTCCAACAAAACACACAAACTGATGAAAAAGGAGAGAGTACGAAGTCTAATAGTGGAGTATAAAATAGCTTTTTTTTAGTTTTTGTCTATTGACAACCATTAAGAATATGAAGGTGATAATTAGCAGTACTATAGTAAAATTTTAAGCTTGGGTGACGGCAAGGAGAGAAGAATTGTTAAAAAATAAAACAGCAATTTGACTAATCGAAGCAAATAAAAGTAAGAAAAATGAAAAACTGATAAAAGAATCATAACGAATACAAAAATAAAATGTAAGTACTAAGAATATGAAACCTTTATGGTTGTTGGAAATTCCTATAAGTCTCTCTTGCATTGGTTTAAAAATAAGAATCCATCTATGTATAATTTATAAACCGACTTAGCTACCAAATAACAAAATCTGAAAATAAAGATACAGGCAAATATTTTTATAAAATGAAACAAAAAGAAGTTAGGATAATATTAATATTCAATAAGGCCAGGGAAAAAAATATTTTTATAGTAAAAGTATAACTCAACTGACATTATTTTATACCTAGAAAACTCAGGACAATTTTAAGAAAAAACAAGAAACCTAGAATAGGTAATTAGTTATAAGTATCTAGAAATATTTCATTTATAATTACAACAAAAAATACTCTAAAACCCCTAGAGACAAACCTAAGGCAAAAAACGTATAATCAAGAAACCTACAAAATCTTGAAAGAGATAAAATCAGCCCTGAGGGAAAACCACTACCACTTGACATGATATAAATATACATGATTGAAAAGTAAGGCTTAATATTATAAAAATGTCAATTCTCCCCAAATTACTATATAACTATATATAAATAAATTCAACTGTTTTTAATTGCATAAAATGATCTTCAATTTTAGATGGAAGAATAAATTTCCAAAAATAGATAAGAAAAATATAAAAATACATTGAGAGAAAGCTAGCCTTATCAGATATCAGAACATACTATAAATATGCTAATCAACCCAATATGGTATTGTCCTAACATAAAATAACTATATTGGAACAAAATAAAGAACCCAGAATTAGAGCCATGTGTGTATATGAAAATGTAAATGTGGTATTTCAAAACAGTGGAGAAAATAGATTAGTTAATAAATGGTGCTGGCACAAATGGCTATCATCTGGGAAAAAAATTAAAATGAATCTCAATTTCACCCCTATCTGAAAATAAATTCTAGATGGAATAAGAGTCTCTCACAAGATCTTGATCACCTGGACCACCTAAGGTTAAGAAGATCTGAACCAAGATAGCATGATTCTACCTTTTCTTTCACAACCTCTATTTGTAGGCAAAAATGTAGCTCTAAAGACAAAAGGTCTAGAAATAAAATGATGTATTTTAGAAAAATTGTTTAGCAACTCTCATAAGTCAGAGTACTCAGCTGCAAACAACAGAACCATTTTGGTAAGTAATAGAGAAAAAATAATTTATAAAATGCTATCAGTAACTCTGAGTCTCTGGAAAGGCAGAAAAAAAATTAAGATCTCTCCCTACCCTACACATAAATAAAAATAAATGGCAGTGGACTAAAAACTATATATTAAAAAAGAATCACTATAAAAGTAATTAGAGAATAAGAGAATATACATGATACTTTCATACTGCTGGGATGGGCTTTCTAGGCAAAAAATAAAACTCAGGTCTACGGCCATGCCACCCTGAACAAGCCCAATCCTGTCTGATCTTGGAAGCTAAACAGGGTTGGGTCTGGTTAGTACTTGGATGGGAAACCACCTAGGAAGACCAGGTGCTGCGGGCATAAAAAATAAAAAATAAGGGATTGTAAGCTAACAAGGTCCTTGCAATCTGTGACATCAACCAAGGGTTGCCTTGCCTAAAAATAAATACATACTCAGAAGAGTCAAATAAATAATAGCTGATCAGTATATAAATTGAATTTTTATAAGACACATATGGAAATATAAGCTAAATCAGCCTTAGAAGATTAGGAAAAGTTAAAAAACTGGTAATATCCCATGTTGAAAGGGTGTGAAGAAACTGTATGTATGCTCATATACCCTGACTGGCAGGTATAAACTGGTACAGTCTTTTTGGAGAACAGTTAGGCAATATACAGAAAAATATTTATACTTCATATCCCA